TAAAAAAAAAAAAAAAACTTACCCTCTCCAATTTTTTCTATCTTTGCATACTCGTCCATGTCTGTTGATCCCAGCAAATATCCCTGGAAGAAAAACAAAAAAGTTAATCAGATACAGCCAATAGGATTTCTGTTTTTGGACCAAAGTGAAGATTTGCGGTGTTATAGGTAATAAAAATGTCATTTGTGCCCAAGAACTACCGTGAAAGATTTACCTTATGTCTGACTCCGCCTGAAAATAGCATACTTCCTGGTAGCTTTGTATGGATTACAAAGTGTACAACAACAGATTCCTCAACAATCCCCCCACCCCCATTCACTATCAGTGGCTTGTGCTTGCCTCTTTTGCCGCCTACGGGTGAAAAAAAAAAAAAAAAAACACAAAGCACATGCCTCCATCAATCGCTGAACAGTGTGGATGGATGAATCCAGTCACTTCTACTGTAAGCTGACAGCAGCCAGCGGCATCAGACGGACTTTGCAGATGATTGGCTGCACGCTCTGCTGGGCCAAAGATTTTCCAACACGTTCCTTCGGCAAGAAGTCTATCTAATCATCGACTTCTGCTGCAGGAATAGGGTCATCAATGCAGCAAATTATCAGCCGCTTGCTGTTGAATCGGATGAAATTTGCTACCCAGCTTCAACTTACCTGATCCCCTGAAGTCACCGCTTTTGTTTACAGTACACTCCATCTTGTGGACTGACGTCAGTGGGCCTCAGACTACCAGAGCTGGTGGGGACAGAGGGCGTGGGTGCCATTCTTGGAGCCAGAGGGATCAGGCGAGTAAGTCCTCTCTCCAGGTACCCAAGACCTAGATGAGCAGTTTACACATGGTGTGGGGGCAGGGAGCTCTGTGCCAGGTCTTAATCCAGGCCGGGCCCTGATGACATTTCTCCCACACAGGATTTACTTCATCTCAGCAAGAACCTCGGTGAGCCTGTGCACTGAGCTGCCCATACACAACTCAGTATCCAGGAAAAACATGGCTGACAGGCTACAAGCATCTTCTACACCAGAAGAGACTTACATCTTACATTCTCATCTGCCAGAGAAAGACTGATAAGCTTTATTTGCAGCTTCACAATGTGTTGGGGGGGGGGGGGGTTTGGCATGGAACATCCCCTTTAAGCAGTACTTCTAACTACATTACTATTGATAAATCCAAGCCCACCACAGACATTACAATCTGTACACACACACACAACAATCTGACCATTCTGACCATACAATCAACTTTAGAGCTACCAAAACTATATAGTATGGGAGGATCAACCTAATCTATCCAATCAATCTGTATGCAATCAGGTAGGCCTGTGTACCACACACAGTAGATATAAATGAGATTGTACAATCAGATTGTAACATGCGTGAAAGGCTTAAGAGCTTCCAAGTTTTGCAGCACAATGGTCTACCCCAATTGGATACACACTGATTGGATGGTTTAGGTAGGTCCTTATATTACATAGTTTTGACAAATCTATACCTCGATAGTACAAAGATTGCAACATGTATGGAGTTTAAAAAGGAGACAGCACACACAAATGGCTGGACTACAACTACAAGTCCAAGCATGCCATCATGAAGACACACTATGAAGAAGTAGAACTACAAGTCCAAGCATGCCATCATGAAGACACTATGAAAAAGTAGAACTACAAGTCCAAGCATGCCATCATGAAGACACACTATGAAGTATGGCTTGTCAGCAGGAGATAAACTACAAATCCCAGCTAGCCATGCAGAAGAAGCAGGGAGCCCCCTACATATACAATGAGACAGACAAATAACATGAACAATGGAACAGACACCCCACCCCCATTGTGAGACACGGAACCTCCAAAGACAGGACGTTCTCACCCTGAGCACCCCAAACCTCCACACTGCCCAAAACATGACCTATGATCGCCTTCATCGTGCCATTACCAGAAAGCAGCTCTCTCCTCATAGACGGCCACACCGACACTGGAGAGATTTCAAACCAGCCGCGCAAAGCCTGTCGGGCTCGCCCAATCACGGAAGTCAGTGGACATTCAAAGCGGCCAATCAGCTTCAAGGGGCGATGACGGCGCCAAACGTGCTCCTAAGGGCGGTGAGAGGAAAATGCTGCGGGAGGGACATGTACGGAGTTTGTGTCATAGGTTCTCGGTAAAATACACTAGCAATGTTACATACGGTCGGCGCGTTTTGTAACCAATCAGCCTCAACATTCTTCCTGGCTGGGGACAATCATACCAGGGGCTGGAAAATTCATTAAAGTTTTATTTCATACACACAGAAAGCTGTGGCAGAGACTGACATGTAGAAGACAGCTCATTTGCCAGCTGTTCCTGAATGTAATTTTTTTGCTCTGCAAACATGCCTTGTTTTCAAGAGTGAGGAGTTCCCTTTTTTAAATGGTACTATTAAGGTATATCTAAAATAGAAAAAAAAATATGTAAAGAATAGAGGAGAGTTAATCATTTCCTGATTTTTGCTATCTCTGTCTCATTTGGGTGATTTCTCTTCACTTCCTGTCATGTAGACTCAACAGGAAGTGAGATTTTTGGCAATATGAGGAAAATCTGCTCTTAGATGGTTCTTACGGGAACAAATGTTCACGTGGGAAGATTTCCCCTCTATACTTTTTCTGGGGGCAGCTCAGAATTTGAGATTTGTCCTCACTTTCCTGGTGACATTGGTAACAACCATAGGGAATCACTTTGGGGAATATTGCTAACAAGGACACAGGCAGCAATAAAAGACTTGACAGTAGCCTCTAGTTCAGAGGTGGACAACTCCAGCCCTCCAGCTGTTGTGGAACTACAAGTCCCATGAGGCATTGCAAGACTCACAGTTGCAGGCATGACTCCCAGAGTATGAGGCATTATGGGATTTGTAGTTAAAGCAGAGCTGGAGGGCTGCTTTCCTGCAACGCACTAAGGCCCCATTCACACAGGAATCGGCCGCCACGTACAGCTCCGTGCTGCGTGCAGGGCCATATGGAGGAGCTCCCGGTAAGGACAGGTGCTGCGTGTGATTAGTATGCAGCCCCCGTCCTTCTCTATGGGACTACGCCCCCTACGCTCACCTCAAGTGCACTTCCGTAGGGGTGCTTGTTTCCTGGCTCGGACGCAGACATGATCCATCCTGTCAGCGTACGAGTATGCTCACCCGCACGGACGTGCAGGGTGGGTGAGCGTAGGGGGGGCGTATGGCCACGCAGTCCCATAGAGAAGGAGTGGGGCTGCGTACTAATCACACGCAGCACCTGTCCTTCCCGGGAGCTGAGCGATACGGCCCTGCACGCAGCACGGAGATGTACGTGCCGGCCAATTACTGTGTGAATGAGCCCTAAAACGTGCTGCACTGCACAAGTGATGTGGCATAGCACAGGTGTGAACAGGGGGCTTTCTTTATAAATAGATTGAAATTCATACATTTTATTTTCTAGGTTTTATTTACAAACATTTCATAAACATTTCCCAGTTATTTAGAATCTAAGAACATAATATAAATATTTATAAACCTCCCCGACCTGTGGAGACAGTGTGTGACAACAACAACCCCGGGTTCACTGGAACTGATATACAAGTGATGATCAGGAAGTGGAGGAGATAAAAAGTGTTCAATAACAAGTGATGGGCGGCCACGAGGATCTTCCAGCATCCTTTAAATATCTCTGACTGTTGTATTGTAACAAGAAGTTACAATTCAGCTGCAGCCACATTCTCTGCGTGTTGGGGACATTCCATTGTTATTTTGTGTAGCTTTTGGCCGTCCTTACATACATGTGCTGAATATGTGTCTCTGGCTAACCCCATCCAAAACTGTTTTATACATTTGATAACGTATAACCCGACGCCTGTCAGGTGTTTATTATTTAATACCATTGGTGAGATTTTTACTCACTTCCTGTGTTGTCACTGAAACAAGAAATGAAAGGAAACCCCTCCTACTGAGGAACACAAACAGTATTAAAATCTAACCCTACTACGGGCCCATTCACATCATTGCGCTCCTGTCACACCATTGCGCTCCAGTAACATGCACTGTACCATTAGATCCAAAAACTGCCGCACTCCACAGATCTAAGCAGCTCCAATCTTTATTACAGTCCAAAAGTGTGCGTGCACCACAAACAAGCTCCCCAGACCAAACAGAATCCTCTAATGCTTTTCACCGATGCGGCTTATTCATAGAGGTAACTGTACAAAAACGCATGGACACGTTATATGCATTGCTGTACTGCACTGCCATTCATTGGAACTGGCACCTTAAAAACACACTTTAAAAACGCATGCAGCACATGGCCACGCAGTACAACACATGGTGTCCAGTATGTTGCAGGGAAATGCAGCCTATCCCACTTTCATATGTTGTGGTGTGTTTTCGCACATGACAAAAGCTGCATTGGTGGTATCTACCTGCACTGTCATCTTCCACCTGTCATACATATAAACATGCTGGGTTGGTATGTCTATGGGGTGTTTGGTGGCGTGGGTGATCTGATGGATGTGCATTGCGCCTGCCTATGTTCGGTTTGTACACGTGCATCCTGTGTAGGAATACACACAAGCATATGATCAGTGCTCAGGTCACAGTTTAGCATGATGAAAATGCAAACCAATGAAAAGCACTTGAAGTGACAACCTTTTCCTGCCTCCTCCTGCAGACTCTCACACAGATATGCTGGATGTCAAGTAAGGGCCGGTGCACACCTGGGCGATCTCTGACCGCGCGGCAATCCGGAGTCACCCATCACCAAAGATCGCGCTGTGGGTGCCATTATTTTCTAATGGCACCCCAGTCGTGCCGGGCAGATCGTGTGGTTTCCCTCCGCGATTCTGACCAACGCAATCGCAGCTAAAACAGCCGTAGGTCATGTATTGCAAAAAAAGGAAAATTTTTCTGCAATTGCCGTGCGGATCTACCCCACTGAAATCAATGGGGCCGCGCGGCAATCACTGTCTGCAATTGTGCACAACAGCGCGATCCCGGGATACGCGTCCTGGATCGCTCAGGTCTGCACCGGCCCTAAGGAAGGCTTTACACCAACACATGTATTGCAGGAAAACCTCAGTACATTTGTTCAAAGCATGGCAGACTGGCACCGCTAACCTTCCATGATTCCTGACATAGAGTTATTGTATAAGTCCAGAGTTTTGTAAACTAATGTATCCCCTTTACCCTTCTACATCTAACACTCCTCTATCTGAACACACACCTAACCCCTAAAACGAGCCATTAACTTATAACCCCCCACCCCTCCCTTCACCAGCCCTGAACACTTATTCCAACCCCACTTGAACCTAAAGTGAGCCCTTAAAGGAGAACTATGGGGTGAGTGAGTTACACTCATGCCCATAGTTAGAGCCTACGTGTGACAATGAAACTGTCACACATCGGCTCCATTGATCGGGAAGTGAGCGAAAACATACCACTGCTCGCTCACCTTCTGATCACCTCCCTGCAGAGAGCTGTGACTATCAGTCACCGTTCCCCACGGGGATTCCCCCCTCCTCTCTCCGATCCTCCAGCGCTGACTGGAGGAACAGACAGGGGAGGGGGCGGGCACAGCTGGGTCTGCTTATAGATAGGCAGCAGGGCGGATCTCAACATTGTTTTTGGGATCTGTCCCGGCTGCGGCGCTCTCAGCATGTAGTGGGCAAAAGCTCGCTATATACTGAGGGGAATTTATAAAAACTGGAGCAGACAAAATCTGGAGCCGCTGTCCACGGCAACCAATAGACATGTGCGATTTGTTTAGTCCCGAATCAATATTTGGACGAATTTTATGAAATTCGGACATTTGGACACATCCGAATTTCCAAATCCCAATGCATCCATATGTGTCCAAATCGGAATTTCTGTTTCCGAATTTTGGATCCCGTTTGAAAATCTCTCTAAAGCGAAACTGAATGGGACATGTGACTTTTCTGGCAAATCAGATGTGTTTTTCGGTTTAATGCATCCGAATGGGTCTGAACACGAATTTTCGTTAAGGCAACATGGGATCCATATACAGTATATACATTTAATACCAAAGCTGAGGCTCCCAGACCCAAATGGCATTCGGGATCCAAATTTCCAAAATGCGATTCGGGTCTGGAAGCCTCAGCTTTATTAATATATGTATATGGCTCCCAGACCCGTGGCATTCGGGATCCGAATTTCCGAATTGCATGCCACTTAGGTCTGGGAGCCATATACACATATTGAAATTCAGATGCCGAATACCATTCTTCTCTATGAGCTTCAGCTTTAGTATTAATATCTGTATATGGTTTTCTATGGTATTCCCAACAAATATTCGTAAACTCATCCGAAACTAACGAAAATTCGGATTTAGTTTGAATCGGAAACCCGAACTGAATTGAATTTTGGATCCAAATCCCGAAATAACAAAATATCCGAACTGAATTTTTCCACAGCTTACATGTCTAGCAAACAATCAGTTCTCTTTAGACACGTGCACCGGCAAAAAATGTGTTTAGTTTAGTTTTGATTCGGATTTTGCGTTATTTCGTTTTTCGGGATTCGGGTTTCCAAAAGTCAATTCGTTTCGGGATTTGGACAAAATTTGTTAGCAGTAGTCTGTACGAATTGTCGTTTCGTTTTCGTATCGTTCGTTGCAACAAAGTGACATTTGAGAAAAGAAAAAAAAATGTTTGTCAGTATGCTGAAGAGGAAAAAAAAAAGCGTGAGGTTCCCCCCCAATTCATACCAGACCCTTTAGGTCTGGTAGGAATGTTGGGAGGCAGGGACCCCCCCAAGTTGAAACAAAAAAAAAGTGTGTGGGGTTCCCCCCAAAATCCCTACCAGGCCCTTTAGGTCTGTGGGGTCCCCCCTAACAATCCTACCAGACCCTTGATATGAGCACAGGCCCGGCAGGGCAGGAAAGGGAGGGGACGATAGTCTGCGGGCAAGGGGGCTTATTTGCATCAGGGTACCCCTTTAATTAAAGGGCACTCAGATGCCCCCCCCCTTGTGAATGAGTAAGGGGTACTTGTACCCCTACCCATTCACTTAAGGGTTATAATTCAATGTAAATAAACAAACCACACCTTTAGAAAAAATCCTTTAATTGAATTTGACATTCTCAGCTGTCAAATATCACATGGCATTTGGGAGCTTCCGAATGCTATTGGTGATCTCCTGAATGCCATTTGGGTCTGTGGGTCAGAGATGTCATAGTACTTTTCATATGCAACGAACAAAAGAAACGAAAACAAAATGACAATTCGTACAGACTACCGCTAACGGATTTCGGAATCGGACATTTGGATTAGTTTACATTCGTTATTTCTGTCATTCGGAATCCGGATACATCCAAATCTCAGATTTTCCGAAATTTCGTCCGAATTTCGATTCGGAACGAAACGAATCGCACATGTCTAGTTCTCTCTTTCATTTTCAAATCTTAACTGAGCAGAGAGAAACTGATTAGTTGCCCTAGGCAACTGCTCCAGATTTTGTCTGCCCCAGTTTTGATAAATTTCCCTCGCTGAGTTTTGGGTCAAGGGAGGAGGTTAGTATATGTCCTGCCATGACACTAAAGAGAGCTATGGGGACAAAAGGTTACCCCATAGTTCTCTTTTAAAATGTTTTCCACTTTGGAGCCAAATTAGAATAACACCTACTTTATATTTGTCATATGTTGCATCATTTTTAAAAGATTTATGAATTGCAGTTTTACTTTCATTTTACTTATCGCAAAAGTCCAAAACTGATGTATTACCTTCTATGTAACAATAAAGTGACACTAAACTCAGGAGTTAAATCCTAAAAATGCATTCAAGGACCCCAACTAGTAACAAAAATAGATCTTATTTGTTTATCACTCGTCTGTAAATCCTCAAATCATCTCTGAATTGGTGCTGACACTGTCCTTCCTTCTGGAGGGTGACTACTTTTGTATGGTCCCTGTGTGTGTTGTAACACTGCTCCAAGCTCACTCCCATGATGGATTACAAATCTCAATACAAATTGGTGAACTAAACTCGAGACTGTAGTCCATCACAGGAGGAGAAATCTCATCTGTAATCTCATGAGATCTCAGGGAAAGATATTTTTCTCCCCTAGGATGATGTGCATGGTCACACGTCCTAGTCACATGTGCCAGAGTTCCAGGAAATAAAGGTAAATGGATTCATCTGCCCTTAGTAAAAATGTCCACTGGTAGAAGACTGGGGAGGAAAAGAGAAGTACGGTATGCATAGAATACATGTGTCAGAGTTCCAGGAAGTAAAGGGAGATCTAGTAACCTGCCCTTAGTAAAAATGGCCACTGTCAGAAGAATAGGGAGGAGAAGAAAACAAGGTATGCAAAGAATACAAAGTCGGCAATTATCTAGAAGGATGTGTTTGTAGATTGTCATTACTAAACATTGCTGAAGGTGTATTTGTTGTCATTTCAAAGATATGGGTAAAGGTCCGCTTTAAAGTAACATTAAAGTCAAATCCCCCCCATGCTGGTGTAAGAACTTACCTTAAGTGATGTCTCTTGATCCGATCATCTTCCTTCCAGTAGTTTTCAGTATCCCTCCAGCGCTGGTGCCGGTCTCTGATCCAGCGCTGACTGCTGTCTCTTCCTGTGTCCCACAATGTCTGCGCGCGTGCACGCTGCCTGGATTGACTTACCCTGTGTCTCACCTCTTCTCTCAGCCGAAGATCTCTGCTGTGCATGCGCCATGATCCTTTGCAGCCGCCCGAGAATTTTCAGAACTTCGGACGGGTGCGTGGGGCGGTGACACAGGTAAGTTTTAAGCTTTTGGGTAACTTTTCAAAATGTTTTTGCATATATCTACTGCTTGCAAGCAGTAGATATATGCAAAAAAACGCAAGGGTTTCATTATACTTTAACCCTTGCAGTGCAGGGGTAGCCCCACTGCAAAGGAGTTTGCGATTTTCCCAGAGTTCTCCTTTAAACAACTGTGTTCAATATGCATCAGATCAGGCAGGTACTATATCATTATTGGTAGATTAAAATGAGATTGTAGAATCAGATTGTGTAGAGTATGGCCAGCTCAAATCAGATCGTAGAATCGTTCTATCACACACACATATTGAGCAATCCTGCACTGGGCAAAATGTTGCCATGGCAAAGTTGAAATGGATCAGGTCTCTGGTTTCTGATTTCTGATTGGATGATTCTACTGACATTGATTTATCAATGATTGATCTAATCGATCCGTGTGTGGCCACCATTAAACAGACAGCAGCGGCCTTTCCTTGCACATGCTTAGTACATATTTCATCACCCTGAAGACAAACATATAAGTATCATATCTGCACACGTTTCAGAAACAGAAAGAAAAGGCAAAGGCTCGGAAATTGTCTCCCAGAACAAAGTCCGTGACAGGCAGGAGGGGTGTGGCTCAAGGGAAAGCAGGCGGTGGGCGCCTCTGATTGGCTGAGCTCTCCCCCCTGCTCTCAGTACCTGGCTGAGCGGACACGCCCCCTCCTCAATGCTCCCCATTGCCAGGCTGGAGAGTGGTGGCGCTGTGATCGCTGCAACAAAGTATCCAAGGAGTTGGCCGGGCGATCGCTGACCTCACACACCGCTGCGATCTGTGTCCTGACTGATCGGGGGGGGGATTCTGCAAGGAGATATTCATCCGTGAAAGTTTCCAGCAGGGGGACACCATGACCTCGTCTCCATCTGGAGGGAGCAGAGGGTGGAAGCAGGTAAGCACTTTTATTTCATTACTCTCTGGCATGGCCGACTCCTCTGCAGAAGATGAGACACCTGTCAATGCCGACTTTCTTCTGTCACTCCGGCGATCTGATAATAAACTGCACGACCTGCGATTGGCCATATGCTGCAGGACTACAAGTCCCAGCATGGGCTACTGTTGTTGGTATTCTGCAGGGCTGCCAGACTGGATACTGCGCTCAGTAATCTGAAATGTCCATTAATACATTCTTGATTATGTGTAGCACTTTGCATATCTTTTCTGCAGGTGGTATACCTGGGCTCACCATACACCTTACAATCTGACACAATCAGGATTAGATCTGCCCAAACTATGGAAGTCCATGTACACACCTGGGCGTTTTGAGTTCTGCAAAACTCTCAAATCCCATTCATTTTTATTGCTCTTGTTCACACCCAAGAGTTTTGTTGCAAGCTGTAAAACGCAGAACGCTGGAAAAGGTACATGAGCTTTTCTTTTTTGGGCAGATTACAGTGCGTTTGGCTGCATAGACTTCAATAGAAACGGATGGAAATGCGCGACACAAACGTTTTGCACCTTTCCATGTGCTTTTTTTGCGCACGTTTTGTCTATTTACCACAATGAGGGGAACTTATCAAAACTGGAGCAGACAAAATCTGGAGCAGCTGTGCACAGCACTCAACTTCTCTCTTCAGTTTGTTCAGTTAAGATTTGAAAATGAAAGAGAGAAGCTGATTGGGAAACTGCTCCAGATTTTGTCTGCTTCAGTTTTTATAAATTCACCACAATATATTTATATCTGATAATTTTCTTCCGTTCAACCCACGGGCCGTCGGCCGCTGTCAGAATACCCTATAAGAGCGGCCAGCTCATTGGCTGCTGGGTCTGATTGTCCAAAGATTTTCCAGCCAGCTCTTTCAATCAGCTGATCGAGGAATTCCAGCTGAAAGGGAGCCGACAGCCCCATACACTGTGTGAATTTCGGACAGGAACATTAAAAAGCAGCCGAAATTTGGTCAGTGTATGGGCACCTTAAGGCTCACCGCACGTTACAATTTGACCATCTCTGTACAATCAACAAAACTATGTATTATGAGGATCTATCTCATCTATCCAATCAAGCAGGCCCTTGTACTACATACTTATTGGTAGATCTAAAGGAAATGGTACAATCAGATTGTAACGTGTAGGGTGAGCTTAAAGATGACTTACCGAAACTGTCCAATCAATTTGCATCCAATCAGGCAGACCCTTGCACAACATGCTTGCTGGTAGACCTAAAGAATATCGTACAATCAGATTGTAACATAAGCGGTGAGCTATAGAGAGGGGGTTTGGTGCCAATGGAGGGTCTTGTAGTACAGATCCGCAGGCTGCTGTGAGAGCCGCTTGTCGTCATCATCAGGAATGCAGTACATGTGCAGAAAGTGCTGAGGAGCTTTGTATATAAACATTACATATAATAAGAAGTACAGAGGAGCCGTTACTATAGTAACCAGTCATTTCTTGCAGTCAGATACATGAGCGGTTGGTTGCCAGGAGTTACTGCTCCTCAGACGTTTGGATGTCTAGATCTATAGAACGTGAATGTTTGTATTTCCATGTTTGCTCAGACAAACATGTCGGCGTTGTATGTAAGGCACGGTCTCTAGGAAGTCAGTGGGCATAGATAAAAAGTCTCAGAGAGTATTAGGCAAGACGCAGCTTGAACATGTCAGTGAATTGTAGACTTGGGACCCCAGAGGGTGACTTGTGAGCGTGAAAGTAATCACACGATGAAAGGTGGAAGCGTGGATTCTGTCCAGGAGCTGGGAGCCGAGCTGTCGGTGGAAGATGTTACTTATAACCTCCTATTAGAATTCTGGGTTAAAGCTGAACTCCAGCCTCCCCTCCGGCCTTGCTCCGTTGTAACGGCTCCTCTCCAGTACTGAGCTTGCTCGCTCTGATTTCACTGCGCACTGTGAGCTTCTCATTGCATGCATTAGAAACTGCAGCAAGTCCATTAGAGTCCGCCTCATTTCCTGGCTGGAGGACATCCCACATCATCTAGCTTAGCCTTTCTCAACCAGGGTGCCGTAGCATCCTGGTGTGCCTTCTGGCTTCCTCAGGGGTGCCTCAAAATCTTCTGGTAGTGGGACTGTGATTTAAAGGGGTGAATGAAGACTGATATGAGGGGAGGGGCTCATGATGTGAAAGGGGGATACTTATGCAAAGGGTGACTCTGATGTGAAGGGTGGGGGGGGGTCTTGATTTGAACGGGGAACTTTGATATGAAGGGGGAACCCCACTTTGGGAAGCCTCAAGATTTTGCATACATTTAAAGGGTGCAATGACTGAAAAAAAAGGTTGAGAAATGCTGATCTAGCACTTTCCTCCCCAGCCTGACTGTCCCTAGACTGCCCATTCTCATTGAATTCCAGTTCCTTCAATCACATAGGCTCAGCATCACAAGTGAGTGTTACCTAGGGCAGCCTGCTGTTTTCGGGAGGCTATGTACAGAACCCTGCTGGCCCCTCCCACCAGCCATGATCTATCTGTATTGCATCAAGAACCACAGATACCCAGCGATTTTCATAGCATGTTAATGGAGGGGGATAAGAGGGATGAAGCAGAATTGGCAAATTATAAGCAAAAATAAACTTCCGCTTTCATGTTTGCAGACAGTGAAACCTGACTGCCAATAGCCCCAATTTTGCTACATTTTCTTCACTACAGTTTGAAAGAGGAACTCCACTCTACATACCCCAGACTCAATTTCTGAAGAACTTGCTTCTGTGAAAGAATTCTAATAAAAACTATAATTCTGGCCTCTTCCAGTGTCATGGCCGGGTCATAGCAGTCAATGAATGGGGAAGGCATAAACACAACACGTCTTCCGGCTGCTTCACATCAAAGCTGGGCGGGTACTGAAGAAGTGATTTTGTTTCTTTGGATTAGCAATCAGCTAATTCAGCCCTCGCTGCTTCAGACGCTGCGACAACATTGATAACGGGGTTCTTTTCAGAGATAGAAAGAGCTCAGCCATCAGATAATATAGAGAAGGCTTGGGGAACCTGAAATCTTTCTTTTATTAACTCATTTTAAATAATTGTGATCAGTGTCCAGATCATTAGTTTGGGGTGCATTCAGCGACAGCCACGGAAATGATCGAACTAATCATCTCTGCACTGAGCGCTGTGTTTCTGCCGAAAAGCAAACTCCTCTCTGCTGGTGTTTAGAAATAACGCCTTCTATAGGAAGAGACGGCTTTATGTCATTAAAGTGACACTAAACTCAGGAGTTCAATCTTAAAAATGAATTCAAGTACCCCAACTAATAACAAAAATGTAACTTATTTGTGTATCACTCGGCTGTAGATCCTCAAATCATCTCTGAATGCATGCTTACACTGTTCTTCCTTATGACTACTTTTGTTCTCCGTGGTCCCTGTGTGTGTTGTAAAGTAGTCACCGCTCCAAGGTCACTCCTGTGATGGACTACAATCTCATGTTTAGTTTACTAATTCGTCCTGAGATTGTAGTCCATCATGGGAGTGAACTTGAAGTGGTGGCTACTTTACAACACAGACAGGGACCATTTTTGCAGATCGTACTGGATCGGAACACAGACACTGATGTGCCACGCATTCGGGTGTGGTCGATTGCACTGCTGGCGGGGTGCATGGCTGTGGTGCCATTGAATTCAATGCACCGCCACGCCCCCTCCCGCCCCTGAACACAGGGACCCACCCAGTTTGTGATACAGTGTGCTCCAGAGGCTGACCACTCTGGAACGCACTGTTTGTGGTGTGAACCGGCCCTTAAGGCCATTTCCGAGATTAAACTAAATCCCCTCCATCCCGATTACCATCTAACTGATCGCTGCCAAAAAAAATTACTTCCCGAAAGACGCAGTTAAAGTGGACCTTTACCCCCTTTGGCTAAAAATCACATCAGCATGCAACTCTACATGCTGATATGAAATCATCTTACAATAATTTGTTAAACAAACATTTTTTTATTTTACTTTACAATTTCTTTTTTTTCCCCACTTCCTGGTTCTCTTTGGCAAAAGTGATGCAATGTGCCCAAGTGTTGCATCATGGGAAGGTTACATCAGCAGTGTATTGCTGGGATATCTCATCTGTAATCACATGAGATCTCAGGGAAAGGCATTTTCCTTCCCTGAGATGATGTGCCATGGTCACATGTGTCAGAGTTCCAGGAAGTAAAGGGAGATCTAGTAACCTGCCCTTAGTAAAAATGGCCACTGTCAGAAGAATAGGGAGGAGAAGAAAACAAGGTATGCAAAGAATACAAAGCCGGCAATTATCTAGAAGAATGTGTTTGTAGATTGTCATTACTAATTATTTCTAAAGATGCCTTTGTTGTTATTTTGAAAGGTATGAGTAAAGGTCCACTTTAATGTGATCCTCCAGTCCTGAGCGTGGGGTCCTTCTTCACATGTCTGTGTCACTGACTGCGTGACATGGACTCTTCCTGTTGGCTATCCAGAGGCAGGGTACTCTCGGGATCTAAAAGAGGAGTGACATCCCTGCAAGGCAGCAGGGGGGGACTGGCTGTTCAGGGCCATCTGCTGCACTGGAGTAATGGTGCCCCACACCTGGAAACTGTTCCGGTGAGGGACCTGAAGGGGGAACCTAGGTGAGTATCATTAAATTAATAAGGTAAGGAAAAATCAAAGCACTGCAGGATAGGTTGGGAGGGGGGATGCGTTGGTTTTGATTTTGGAGGGATGGGTGGAGTTTCATATTTTGCCTAGAGTGGGGCATTAAGCCTCCTCCAGTCTATATGCTGTTGCTCCAGCGTCAACTGCACGTCTTTAATTAGGATTGGCTTCCTGATATTGACTAAGGTGGACTACGTCTGCATAATGTGTGTCAGCACG